CAATTTAGAAATAAGGATGTTGTGTGGGACAGTGTCATCATCATCTCTTACTTTATTATAAATTGCTAACATAGCTCACATTACATTTAAACTTTCCTTCTTCTTTTCAAGACATTGCATGTGTCCACCCTCTGCCCTGTCAGCAATACCAACAGTTCAGTCCCTTTTCCCACTACCACATCCGTGTATTTTCCAGGTGGTTTGGAGACAGCACATTTGCAGCCCTGGGCTCAGCCCCGGTATCTTGAGCAGCAGGCAAGTAGTGAGCCAGTTAGAAGCATACGGGGTTAACATTGCTCCTTTTCACCTCAGAAGTGGGTGTATTTTAGTGCATGAAATCCTGTGCATCATTACTGTGAACTATTTATGCATTTTAGTGTGGATATATGTATTGTTGAGATGTCCTACACAGTGATGTGTTCTGACTTCTGCTTACGTCAGGGAACCTTAGCTATTTGTTCTGTGTGCCTCATTAGCATTTATTTGATTTCCATGCTTGGGGTTTCCTCAGCTTGTTTCATATAGGCTTTAGGACCTTCTGGTACATACTTAGATGGTCATAGATTGGGTTTCTCTAATCTTCTTTTAAGGAGGCATAATGTATTTATCTGAGATTGATAGAATGAGTGGAGGAAAATGAGAGTTTTGATTAAGTGATGTTCTCAGGTTGCCCATTAAGCTGCTAAAGAAGGAGATGAGTTTGGTTAGTTATTAACTGTAGTTAATCGCATTACTGTGTACATTGTGATTGTACATAGAGGGTAAGAGTTCTGTTCTTTTTTTGTTCTTATTTTTTGGTTTTTGCTTTTTTTCCTGAGGAATAGTCCAAAATTAGCAGCTCTCTCAAATGACCCTCTTGTTAAGCTGTTGAGTAAGGAGAACGTACCACACTGCTTATGAAGAAATATGTCGAATCAGTGAGACACACGACAGAGAAGATACAAATGGCATCTTGCATAATCCTCCTGAGAGCCTGAAATCTCTGCATTGGTGCTACAGTGTTGTTTCCAAAGTTACATGAGGATTGTTAATGACACAGAAATCGGTACACACACAACACATCTGAAAGACTTCAAAAGCATCATGGTGACTTCAGTTAACTGTTCTTGCAGCAGCTCCGCTAAACTTCTATGTCGGGAATATGATAGGTGGCTCTTTTGTTACATTAGGGAAAACTTGTATGATTGGTGTGGCTTGTCTTTCAGCTTTCTTCTTATTTACAGTTGTAAAAATGATGATTTCTCTGGAAATTGGAAAAGCTTATTACAATCCAAGAACTTTGCTTTACGACTTGCAACACACTGTAACTATTCAGAAGTGCTCTTCTTTCTGTCTTGCTTAATTCTTAATCACATCCCCAAATAGTCCATGTCACAGTGCTGTTAACAGGGTTGGAGTCAGAACAAAAATTTAGTTTTTCCTGATGATAATTTTCTCAGATTTGCTTATTCATGCAGAACGATCAGGTGCATCCTAAGCTTTCTTCTTACCTGGATATAAAACGTACAGAAATAGTGTTTTTATCACTTCTGTTTTATTGCATCTCTATCTTAGTTTCATTATATCTTGTATTGCTTTGATTTTTCATCTTCATTATATTTTCTAGTCCACAAGAACCAGATCAGTCAAAGCTGTTGGTGTTATTTGAGGAAATTCCCTTTTAGGACAGTTGTAGCATTCTGTCCACAAAATCCTAGCTACGCATATTTCTTCTTGTTTGGTTATGCAAGTAGTTGCATATTCAATTCCTCTAAACTGTGATCCATCTTTTGAAGTGTAGCTGTTTATTAAGCAAAGCAGTGGCCATAAAGATAGTTCTCTGTCTTTCCAATTTCCTACGATATTTTGGACTTTTTTTTCCTTAAAGCTGAAAGACAGAATATAGAAAAAACCCTGAACCCTGACAAATCATTTTTTCCATCATTTCACCAAGCTGTATTATTTCATGTGCACAGGCTCCTCCAGTATATTGAAAGTGTCCCTCTCTTTATGTCATCTATGAAATTTTGCCACGTAATCTGCTTGTTTGCAGGTGAAGTGAGTTAAGCGGAGGCCATGCAGTAGAGGAGTATGTGAAAAACATACATTGCTCCTTCTTTAACTTTCTTTTCTTGTTTTATTTTTTTTTAATTTTGATCCTGCTTGAAAGATATCTTCTTATTACTAGGATGGGAAAGAGACCCCATTTACTCTGATTTAGACATAATAAAATAATTTTTCACTGTGCTTTACTCTGTCCACCAAATAGACTTTTTATTGTTAGCATTTAAATTGGCTGCTCTGGCTTAGCTATGTGAATTTCTGTTGTAAATGCTGTATTTGCTAAAATATGTAATTTCGTCTGTTCCAAAACTATTTTTAGGTTTTGCCTACTGTAAAACCACACTTCCATTGAAATTGCCACTATGAAATGCATGAAAAGTCTCCTTCTTACCTAAAGGCAACTGTAAGGATAATGGTGTTGCCAAGTGACATGATTTTATCCTAAAATTAGAAAGCTTCTGAAAACTTCCTTGTGGCTGAATTATTTCTGCTGTTTGCTGTGCAGTGTTTTGTCCTTTTCCACCTCTAGAATTATTTACAGAATTGGAGATTCATGTTCACCCAATTAATGCGTATCCCATTTCTCTATAAATTATGAAGGCAAAAGTTAAGTGAGATCTACAGCCTCCATCTCCTGCACTTTAAGGAAGCTGCTCAGACCAAGTGGTAGGTGGTAAGTGACTAGAGGAGGGCTGGGAAGAAACAGGAAAATGCAGTTGAATGAAGTTGGCAAGAAGGAAAGAATATATAAAGGAAGAGGTTGGGATAAGGAAGTTGCAGAAGCAGAAGAGGCAGTGTGGGGGGTCTGAAGAAGAGGAGGAGGTACACAGAGGAAGATCCCCAGGAGTGTGAGAAGGGTACAAGGGTCATGGGACAGAAGAGCAAAATCAGGCAGAAGAGAATGAAGAAGAAGATGGGAAGCAGTTTATATGCCAATTTTCTTCCAGAAAACACTGAGAATATTAAACCCAGATACTTTCTTGGGTTTTGTCCTTTTTTGTCTGTTTTGCCACATACGATGTTTTATTCTTTGCTAGTTCAGTCTCTTTGCATTTAACAGTCTTCTTGCTAAGAGGACATTTTAAATAGATCTATATTTACTCCCTTAAGAAAATGTGAATTGCTGGTTTCATGTGGCTGCAGCTGTGCGATGTATGCTGCATAGGTCAAACACCATACAGGACTTGGCTTGGGCATTGCATAGACCCAGCAGGTGGCCAGGCACGGCACCGCTGACTGCCACGCCACTTCAAGGACAGTTACCGTTCTGGATCTTAAATGACTGAATTAAGTTAAGATGCTTCTGTAACAGTGGGTTTCGCTAATTGTTTCCTTCTGGTTAAAATGTTTGATCTCAACAGAGCTGGTCTTCTTTTGTATCTAAATCTGAATTTCTTTCTGTGTTTTCTGCAGCCTTTTCTGTCTCTATTTTCTTTTATTTCTTTGTCTTTTAGTTTTATTTCTCTAGAAACCTGTCATGGGGGCAAGACCGCGGTGCATGGTGAAAGGAAGACTAATCCATTCCAGAAAAAGAGTTAGTTTTTTATTTGCAGAATTGGTAGGGCATCCACAATGACAAATCACTAAACACATTGCAAGGTCTGTGTAATAATATGTGGCATATCTGGGAGTAAAACTGGCATAGAGGGTAGGAGCAGCTCAGAACAAAGAAGGATGAACCGCTGGCATCTGTGAGGGAGGTGGTTTCGAATTCAATCACAACCTTGCGAAGGAGATTAAGCAGCACCTGTGATATCTGAATGATTTAGTTTCAGTAGATCATTCTTGATGCTGTGGAAGATAACATGAAAAGCATGCCAAAAAAAAAAAAGGAAAGGAAAAAGACATAAAAGACATAAAAAGACATGAAAAGACATAAACAGACTCAGCAGAATAGCCAACAAAACATGGTAAGGAAAGAATTCTACAGCTTTAGTTGTAAGTGCTATTTTACTTTTTTCAGAATGGAAAATTCTGGAATTGCATTGGGTCACACTGGGTTGACTTCTTCATAAACCTAACTGAAAGGTTTTTTAAAACTAGCATCTGTCCTAATGGAACATTTTCTTAATGAAAGTTACTGAAAACTGACATATTACTTGTTTAGCTTTTCTGGAGCTAATAGAAATAGCAATTTGAAGTTAAATATTTCAAAACACTTTGTGGGTCTCAACAGGAAGAAATGGTCCTTTGTCAAAGACTGCTTGACTGCGTATAGTGTCATGGTGAAAAAGCTCAGGCGTCTATCCAGATGTCTCCTCTATGACAGCAGACAATACTAGATGCTTTTGAAAAGCTGCATGAAACGACAATACGTAACTGTTGAGTAGACTTCATCAGAATGTCTGTTAGGTGGAGATAGCCTTAAAATTTGAAGCATGAGAATATTCTGTCCTGAACTTAACTTAGTTTTTCCTGTTTTGTCTAGATATTGTCATATTTTATATTTTAAATGTCCTACCCATTCTTAGAATCTGATATTCTTGTTCTTAGCTTTCTTTGCTAAGTTTTATGGTTTTGTTGAGAGAAATAGGATTTCCTTTGCAGTGTTGATGCAACAGATTTTTTTTTTTTTTTATTATGAGATGGTACTCATTATGCTGCACAGGGAAGAGAAGGTCTTCAGTCCGTAGATGTAAAAGGGTATATATACCAGGATGGTATTTATATAGATACAGCTTGTTTAGCGTATATAGAATTACACACTAGACTGTGTGTGTTTGTGTATATATCTACATATACACTAAGATTTTGTATTTTTCTCTCATACAAAACTTAAGTTCCATGTATGTCAGAATAGTCCTTCAATGTCACAATGCATGCTGACACACTTCAACATTTCATTCTGTGTTGAACTATCTGTGAATCTCACTGAATGTCAATTAAGACAAAGTAATTACAAGGAAAATAAACTGCCTATTGATTACTTCTTTTGTTACTTTATACTTGCTTTTCAGGCCAAAGTTCAAAAAACATCAGTTCATCTCCAAGCATAGAGAGTTTGTCTGGAGGACGTGAATTTACAGGATCTCCACCTTTGTCTGCATCAAAAAAAGATTCCTTTTTCAGTACAATCTCCCGCTCCCGTTCCCAAAGCAAAACTATGAGCAGAAAGGAATCGGTAAGTTCTTTAACTTTTTAAGCTATTTAATGTCACACTGCATTACTTGTTAGAGGCAATCATTTCTCCCATTCATTAAGCACTTGCACTTGGAAATGTTCCCCTAAGCACACATTAATGGCAAAAGCAGAAATAAGCTGTTTCAACTGTTTCTGTTGAGTAACATCTCCATTATGGTTTCCACCCCGTAATCCTACCTGAAATGAAACTGTGAAAGCACCTGTTGCCTCTGAGAAAGAGGAGAGAACTCCTGCAAGTTTGTTTGTTTGCTTCGTTAGACTTTTGGGGTAGTCCTGAAGTTAATAAACAGTTCAATGGGGAGCACAAATGCTCAGCAGGTTCAAACAAGTCCATCTGTTGTCCCTGAAATTCCTTAATACATCAGAGGCTTCCCAGTGTCTGTAGCATCTGTAGTCTGCAGTCACGGTTGTATTTCTTGCGCAGCCCCAGCCTTCCATTTGGCCACAAGAAACTATTATTTAAACAGATTCATCCAAGAAAATCAGCTCTTATCATGGGTGTGTTCCAAAGATATTCTCATCCCATCAAAGGTATTTTAGGAGCACTAATTTGATAAACTTCATATGCCAGGATGATTCTCATATCCAGGAGGATTCTTGTTTATTTTATATACGTTTCCCATTGTCCTTCTCTTGATTGGAAACCAGTTACACAGGAGATGGAAAAAACTGTAAATTTTGGAAGGTGAAGGCATAGCGTTGTCTTCCATTCAATTTTCACAAATGTATGTTCATAAAAATTCCTATTGATTTCAATAAATATAATATATATAATATATAATAATTTTATCTTTAAATAGAAGAAAGTTGTTCAAGTCACATCATATTTTAAAATTGATATTTAAAAGGTTCTAATGAAATGCACAGCTTTGCACAACTTTGTTCAGTTTTTGTTCGCTGAAAGATAGGGTTTAATTCTTGTTCCACATGCTCTAAATTTGCCTAAACAAAAGCTGTGTTTTGTGGTTAGTCAGCAAGAAGCTATAATTTTGGTTTGTGTCCATTGAAGACGAATTGAATTTAAAGCTAAAACAACAAGTTAATGTCTCTCTGATTGTCCTCATGAGTTGAAGAAAAATAAATATACCAGTATTGCATTTTTCTTTTTATGTGGTTTAACAAGATCTAAATCCAGCCTTCATTTCCAACTGTTGTTCAGGCCAGAACTTGGGTGTTGTGCACTAGTAGAGTTTAAGAGTAATTCCTTCTTAGCTCTCTAATAGGAGACACAGAAGAATTTTCCATTATAATATTCTCAGTTAGAATCCATTAATGATAAATAAGTTTTTCAAGTAAATGATTTCTGAAATTTGTGATATTTTATTAGTGTTTTTTTCCAAGGATTTTGGACAAAGAATTATTCATTGGAACAGATTTGTAGTCTTATGATAATTTTCAGTAGATTGCTAATCACGATAAACTAAGTGGAGCATAAATTTTCGGAAGAATTCTTTGAACTGTGCTATGTACTTTATATTGTAGCATTTTATGATTAAACAGTTAGAAAAGGTTTTAGGCTACCAAAATCTATCTCCTTATGTTCAGTTTTTGACTGACCTTTAATATAGGGAAAAGGAATTTGTAGCAGCTCCAAGAGGAAAAGGTTTGTTTAAATCTGTTCTCTATTGCTGAAGACAATGTTCAGGTTTTGTTTTCCTGTAAGTTTCATGATACCTGGTTTTCTGTTTGGAGAAGAAAACCCCAAAGAGTTCATCCTGATGTCCCAAAGCAGTTGCATCAGAATACTCCAGTCCCGTAGTTCCTTCATTTACAGCTGTTTTCTGAAGGCAAAAGAGGACTTGAAAACTTAATGAGTTCACATCTTTGTTTTATTTGTAAAACTGAGCTGGTTTATATTTTTTCATATGTCTCTAATTATACAGATTATGCTGTTAAGTATTGGGGAAATTACCTTTGTTGGACCATGGCCATGTATCAGTCACTTTATAAAAAGATAAAGTCATTCTTGGTGTAACAAATGAAAGAGATTCCATTTCCCCTTCATCTTTGTGCTTCTAATTAATGCCTTTCCCAAGCAAAGCGGGAATGGAATGCATACCTAAAAATCCTTCAACATGGAGTTAAAAAAAAAGTGATTTTCACAGACCAGAGGACATTACTGTAACATTGTCATGGGATGAACCAGAGTCTCATCATCGCAGGTCACACCTGGAGTACTGTGTCCAGGGCTGGGCTCCCCAGTACAAGAGAGATGTGGACATACTGGAGAGAGTCCAAAGAAGGGCCACTAAGATGATGAAGGGACTGGAGCATCTCTCCTGTGAGGAAAGGCTGAAAGAGCTGGGGCTGTTCGGCTTGGAGAAGAGAAGGCTCGGGGGATCTTGTCAATGTGTATGAATATCTGAAGGGAGGGTGCAAAGAGGACGGAGCCAGGCTCTTTTCAGTGGTGCCCAGTGACAGGACCAGAGGCAAAGGGCACAAACTGAAACTGTGAGGGTGACTGGCCACTGGCACAGGTTGCCCAAGGAGGTTATGGAGTCTCCGTCCTTGGAGATATTCAGAAGCCACCTGGACACAATCCTGGACAACCAGCTGTAGGTGACCCTGCTTGAGCAGGGGGTTTGGACGAGATGACCTTCAGAGGTCCCTTCCAACCTCAACCGTTCTGTGATTCTGTGACAAGATAAACTGGAATGTAACTTGTCTAAATTCTATCTGTCCTAAAGCCTGTCCAACAATCTGGACTTTCTCTGGGAGAGTTGTCATCAAAACTGATACTTTACTTGATTCGTTGCCTCCAGGAGTAGGATGTGTCCATTTCTCGTATTGAGGAATTCTGAAGGTAGTAATGTTTGCATTATGTTTAGTCTTCTAGATCTATTTTTTTCCTCTCAAATGCAAAGATCAATGGAATTACTTCTTTACTGGTGTTGTCAGAAACAGGTGTCCCCTGCTGGGCTGAATGCACAATACCAGATCATGTTTTGGCAACCCATGGTAGCCTGATGTTTTTCATGTTACTGTTGAGTGACACTCAGCTGTATGTTAATGTGAGGCCCACCAAATGTGTTTGGAAGTCTGTTTTGTACGCAACGGTGAGATGATTCCCTACCCATTTATACAGCCTGCAGCTTTCTGAGTGGAATAACTTAGGCTGCAGTTTCTGGAGCTGTCTTCCCATAAACAAGAACCGGAACATGTAATATATAATGCACTCCAGTGTCCATTGTCTTCTGGCTGGGTCAGTCTTGCTGGCATAAAGTCCTGTAAAATTTCCTCTCCTAGCCTGCCCAATGCCCTCTCCTTTTCAGCAAAGTTGGGAAATTGGGTGCATTTGTGGTCCATTTCTCATTATGTTTCATTTACGTCTCCAGTAACTATTAAGGGCAGTCTACCCCTCTTTTTGGCAAATAGCGAAGCTGCCTAGACGTTGATTCTGGCAAATATGGTTCTCTGGTCTCAGTTTCTGGCACAATATTCTGTAAATTGTTTTCAGCCGTAGAGGTGTGCCAGAGAGGGAACTTTGAGTCAAACAATGCAAACATTTTTAAAACTTTCTTAAAAAAAACACAGGATAAAGATGGTTTTGACTGAAAAGAGAGTTTTGATATGGAGAAACTGTATATATTAATAAATAAATTTCTACATAAAGATAGTTTAAAAATTCCCAAGAAGTCAAAGGAAAATTTGGAGCAATTTATTTTCTTTACTAAAATAATTTACAAACATGGTCAATCAGAATCCTCATTTATTAGCAAAAAAATCCTGAACAAAAATGTCATGCATCATGCTGGTTTTGATTGCACCGAACTTTTAGTTAAATCAAATTTGACAACATATGCTATTGTCCCCACAAGCAGGTAGAAACAACTGTTAATGTCTGTGATTTACATTGCTAGTCTGACTGATTTGGAGTTAGTTATGAGTACCCCTACAGGTTAGACAATTAATGTATGCCACTATTTTCAATTAAATAGTTACCTACTCTACTGATTTAGGAGCCTGTTTTTATGCATACAAGCTTGATGGTTTTGCTCAAGTAGAAGTGGTATACAAAAATCAAAGAGATAATAAAATAAATACTAGACAACCACACACAAAAAATCATGCATGCAAAAATTCCTTTGAAGAAGAGCGTGCCTTTTGTGCATGGTGCATGTCTTGGAGACTTCTTTTATTCCCTGTTCCCTGACTGTTATTTTAAAAATCTTTTTGAAAGCTTTTAAGCAAAATACTTACCGATGCCAAACATTTATTTGGAAATACAAATGCTATGATGAAATATGCTTTTTTAGTTAAGCATCATAAAATGTGCCCAGAATATGTTAGCGTCTGCGTGCAACAAGCCAATTCCTTGATCAATACATTGGATTTATTAGGCCTGAAGTTAAAAAGACATCGTGATTGTTCTCAGTGCCATTAATTTGAATGAACTTCAGTGCCTCAATATTTAACTGCACTTAATAATGGAGGACATTTGTCTTCCTTATTCTGATGCAATAGGCCAATTCAGACACCTGAAAAATGCAATTTATTTAGTACTTCAGTGCTTGTCTAATTATAGGGATAGATAAAAAGAATATTAAATCTGAGATGCTGCCAGGTCATGTGAACAGAGTTCGTAGAAAAACCTCTGAGATTATTTTGGAAGTGTAATTCTTTTCTCCGTTGCCTTCCTCTGGCTCCCACAACATGCTGCGACAACAATGAAAGAGCTGAAGACAGTACAAAGAAAAATAAGCTGCCTTTTAGAGTTTTTTATTAGAAATACTTGCAAGTTTCATATAATTTAGTAAAGCGACAGCTGTATGTGTGAGTGGCAGCTTTGAATCTTAATGCTCCTTTTTTGGAGTGATTCATTTCAGGGAAAAGAAACTATACTGTGATAAAAACAGGAAGTTAATTGCTTAGGAAAAAAACCTGAATAAAAACCCAAGTGGCTCTGCAGTGCTTTTTCTGTCATATTGTGAGCAACAAATACGTATACAGAACAAATCTGTGGGGCCGTTTGGAAGGTTT